GGGCCAGGCTCGCCGCGGCGCGGCGGGAGGAGGAGGCGGAAGCTCTGGAGGCGTACTGGGATCAGGAGATCTTGCAAGATCTCAGGTTTGTGCCGTCGGGGGCGTCCGAAGGTCTTCCGCCGCCGGTGGCCAAGGGGACGCAGTCCAAGGTTGTCAGGCGGCTGAGGGGGCTGGTGGCGATGGCGCGGGCGGTGGCGTCGGCGCACCCGCCGGGGGTGGTGATGCAGGTGCGGTCGGGGGCGGGGCGACGCGCCCTTCCGCGCCTGTGCAGGAGCGGGCCAGGAGCCTGCCGGCGCCTGCACCCCTTTGAATGCCGCGCAATGAAGGGGCATTGCTGTGCCCTGCGAGAGCGCCAAAGTTTTAAATACTCGGCCTCATCTCTGGCCATCCTGCGGCGCCCAAATGAGGCGCGCCGCTCGTCTTAAGTTTGGGGGAGGGGGGCATCAAACGGAGACGATCTTGGCATTGTGGCGGGCAGGCAGTCAAGCGAGACGCGCCGATTTGCACCCTTGGACTGCACCCACGCGCCCCCTAGTTTGAACGAATTCGAATTGCATTTGAATGGATTCGAACAGGTGCTGCTGAGGGCGTCTGGCTTCTACCACATGGTGGAGTCACTCGATCCCACTAAGGGCGCGGCATCCAAGGGCGCCGAATTCAAGAGCAGCAAACCAAAGGGGGGCAAATCCAAGGGCGGACACGGCGGCGGCGGCGACGGCGGCGGCGACGAGGACGAGGACGACCGCGGCGGCGACGCCTTCGCGCGTCTGCGGCGGCGGCTGGCCAACGCTGACGAGGTCGTGGCGCTCGCCACCGCCCTGCCCTCTGTGGGGTTCCAGGGCGCGCCAACCTTGGACGGCGACGACGGCGGCGTCGGCGCCGGCGCTGGCTTAGGGGAGGCCGAGGGTGCGTCCGCCGCGAGCTTCGGTGGCCCCGACGGCCCCGACGGCAGCGGCGGCGGCAGCGGCGGTGGCGGCGGCGGCGGCGGGCGCGCGGCGCCCGTCGGTCTGGGTCCATTGAAGTGGTTTGCTGACTACTGCAGCCTCGCCTCAGGGGAGGACGGCGGGGACCCGCGGCCCAGGGTGCGCAGGCGCGCGTATGTGTGTGTGTGTGTGTGTGTGTGTGTGTGTGGGTGTGGGTGTGGGTGTGGGTGTGGGTGTGTGTATGTGTGCGGTCAGCGTGCGCACGCGCGACGAGGCGGCTCGACGACTGATGCCTGGTTGGGAAGGGTGCGTCACGCTTGATTACACATCGTGACTGCTGAAGGGGAAGGGGCGGCGGCAGGAGTGCGAAATCCCGATCGTGCCCCGAGAGCGGCGTGGTCGACGGGGCCGCTCCTGTCTCTCCCCAACATCTACCCCGTCCCCCCCTTCACCCCGCCGTCATCTTTTCCCGACAGGTCCAGCTGATGACGCTCCACGCATCCAAGGGCAAGGAGTTTGAGGTGGCCGTCATCGTGGGCAATCTACCTGACCGGTGAGCCCGCAGGATTGCGACAGTGCACGGACGAAAGCTCTCATTTCGTGTTGTATAACATGGAGGTGCTCTGATTTTGTCAACAGGTAGTGCCAACGTGAGGTGTCCGTGTGTCGACACCCGCTGCCCGGCAAGGTGGTCAGGGCTCACCGGCCATGCATCGCGCGGCGACGCCGCCCGCGGGGCGGCGGATTGCGGTCGCCGGTTTTGTGTCTGGTGTCGGGTAGCCACGCAAGCTGTCACTCCCCTCCCTGGTCCTCCCCGCGACCCCATTTCACCCCCCACCCCAACCCTTCCACTCCCCACTGTGTCCCCAACCCCTTGCAACCCCCCATGCC